CCAACAAACAAACAAACAAATAAATAAACAAATACAGGGAGACAGAGAGGAATGGAGGACGGGCAGGTGACAAGGGAAAGGCAGGAGGGAGGGAGGGAGGAGCAGTGCTGCACGAGCCAGAGCCGGGCGTTTTTCTCTCTTTTTTTAAAAACAAAAAACAAAATATTTTTATTGATTTCAGAGAGAAAGGGAGCAAGAGAGAGAGAGAGAAACATCAATGATGAGAGAGAATCATAGATCGGCTGCCTCCTGCACACCTTCCACTGGGGATCGAGCCACCAACCCGGGCATGTGCCCTGACTGGAATCGAACCTGGGACCCGTCAGTCTGCAGGCCGACGCGCTATCCACTGAGCCACACCAGCCAGGGCCAGAGCACAACCTTTTCAAATGCCAGCGAGAACCTTCCTGGAAGGAGCACACGGTGCGGGCACGGGGGCCTGCGGGCAGCGGGGCAGCTCTGTGGACTGTGGACGGAGCTGACGGGGGAGCGGCCGGGCTCCGAGCCAGTCCCCGCTTCAAGTGGGCAGTGGGCGCGGGGAGCTGAGTAAACGCTGGCCGCAGATAACGGGCCATTATGGCCTGGACGACTTCCTGAATGGCCCACAGCTCGCTGCTCGTTTCCTGCCGGGGCGGGGGGGGGGGACATGTGAGGAGAGCGTCGGTGCAAAGAATGCAGCGCGGACGTGGGCAGAGCGGGACGGACGGACATCAATTCACGGCTCAGAAGGCGGAACAAGAGGAAGAGGAAAATGTTCTGGTCTCTTGTGGGTCATCCAACCCACGCCCCACGCGTCTGTCTCTCCCGCCGGGGCTGCCGGCTGCTCGATCCCCGCCGTCCCCAGCGGAGCAGAAGCCGGCGGCCTGGGAGCCGGACCGGTGACCTGAGCAGCAGAGTCGGACAGTGAGGGCGGCACAAGGAAGGGCGGAGAGAGGAGCCTGAGAGAGAGAAGGGCTCCCGCAGCTCCTCTCCAGCGGGGAGCTCGGTGGAGGTTGGCCAGGTCCTGGATGCGGCCAGGAAACCACGGCTCAGGGACCGCAGCTCCCTCTCCCGCCCTCTCCCCCCTCAGCGTCTTCCCAGCCTCTGTCCTCCGAGGCCGCGGGACAGTGTCGCTCTGCTGGGCAACCACAGGCTGCCTCCGTGTGTGTGATCTGACAACCTGTCATCATTGGTTTTAAAACAAACACAATAAAAACAGACTCTCAGATACAGACAACAGACTGACAGCTGTCAGAGGGGAGGGGATGGGAGGTGGGGGGAAGGTGGAGGGACTGAGAAAGAAGAGACATGGCACAGACAGGAGCAGGTGTGACCAGAGGGAGGAGTGGGAGGTGGAAGAGGTAAGGGGAGTGGATGGTGATGGAAGGAGACGTGAGTGGGGAACACACAGCACAGTATGCAGATGAGGCTCCACAGGCCTGTGCACCTGAAACTGCTCTTTTATTACCAAGTGTCCCCCCAACAAATTCCATTTAAAAAGACGAGGTGTGTAGAGACGGGGTCCGTGAGAGCTAGGAGGCGGCCTCCTCAGCTGCTCGCCTTCCGACACGCCGGAGAACTGTGCGCACAGCCGCTCCTGCTCCAGGCCGGGGGACCGGGACCCCACCTGCTTGCCCAGGGAGCTCCCCTTCACCCCGGGGGCCCCAGGTGCCCAGCGGCCGGAGGCTGCCCCCTCCACAGGACAGGAGGTGGCCGAGGGCAGGCGCGCTCAGGACAGCGCCTCAGTTTCTCCCAGACCACAGCTCCCTGAGGACCTGGCCTTGTCGGTCTGCAAGCCACACCCGGGAGAAGGCGGGGTGCGGTGGACACAGGGCTGCTCCGAGCGGCAGCAGGAATGACCGGGACCAGGTGTGCGTCCCCCGCTCAGCACGGCGTCCCCACGGCCCCTGCGCGATGAGGAAGGAGACCGGCCACAGAGCTGAGCATCCGGGGGCGTGCCCCACGCCCACACTGCGTGCGTCAACAGGCTGCTCCCTGGGCTGCAGAGAGTCCGGCCATAACCCTGGTTAATCATTCATCCCCTCTCCCTCTCTGCAGGGGGCCCTGCCAGAAGCAGGTTTCGCAACGCTTCCTGCTCCGATCAGTTTACTGCGGAAAACCCACCTGCGAGCCTGCGGGACGCACACGGGCCGTCGGGGCATAAACAGCTGCTCAGCTCGAACACGCACGACTGAGCTCCCGTCTTCGCCGCGCGCCTTCTCAGGGCGCTTATCTGAGCAAGCAGTGGCTGGAAATGGGGCCGGGAGCTTCGCGTCCTCCCCCCACCTCCCGATATATAAATAGATAAATGATCGAGGTCACTGGGTCGCCCTCAGGCCATAGATCAACAGGGCACCACAACCAGGCTCAGTGACCGACTTGCTTGGAAAACGGAAGGAAAAGAAATGAGCTCCCGGTTACCGTAGCAACCTAGGCCGTCTTCAAGCCGGCGGACCCCCTCCACCCAGGAGCAGAGTGACCACATCAGAGGCAGAACAATAGCCCAAACACCGTCCCCTCCACCTCCCCCATCGGACACACATTCACTCAGGACGGGCCACAGCCTGGAGTCTGAGACACAAAACCACTGAACTTTCAGGAGAGAACAGGAAAAGCTGCAGGATTCCGACTGCGGTGCGAGTTCGTGGACAAGACACCGAAAGCACGGCCTGTGAAGAAAAGACGTGATAAACGTCCTAATGACAGGCTGTGCTCGGCCAAAGGCCATGTCACAGGAAGGGTCACAGAGATAAGCTGCCAGGGGAGTAAATATTTGCGAGCCCAGGTGTGACAAAGGCCCAGAACGCGGACGGCCCTCTCCAGTGCGGGAGGCTCGCGCTGGCCAGGGCCTCGGGGCGTCGGCTCTGCTGAGACCCCTGGTGGGTGGGGGCTGCTCTCTACCCACTGGTCTGTCCTCGGGTTCAAGGCCCGCCTGGGGCCCCTCCGCCGCACTCTTCCCCGCCCTGCCTGGATGCTGGGGTCCCCGTCTCCCACCCCAGCTGTCCCTGGATCACTGGCCCGGTCCCCAGCTTGGCTGACTGGGTTCCTGCAGGCGCCCCGCTCCCCACTTCCAGGCCCGAGAGCCGCTGCACCCGCTGTGCACCCGGGAAGTGCTCCTGCAAGGTTTCCTCTTTATGGGCGCGGCCATCTCTCGCACCCGAGGGTGCCTGTGGCCTCCAGGTCCCCATCATCCCCAAGGGACCCCAGGCCCTGCTCCGGCCTGCCTTCGGCTCCACACGTGCTCGCCGGGGTCGCCGGGTCAGCTCCCGGTGGAGGTCAGCATCCCTGTCATTTAATCGCATCAGAATCTCAGGGAGGATGGAGCCTAGAGAGAGAGCGGCCCGGCCCGGGAAACGGCGCAGGCACAAACAGGTGCATCTTCACGGTCAGGGAAAACCACACGGAGGACACACCTTTACTTTCTGCTCGAATGACCAGACCGAGACAGAAAGTGCAGCGACGAGACAGCGCTGCGACGTAAGCCGCGCAAGCCCGGCGGCTCGTTCGTTACCGTGTGAACCCCCAGGAACAGGACCTCAGGTCGCCACGCACCTCCGGGCAGTGCGGGTACCAGGTTTGCCCTAACGCGCCCCCGTTCCCTGGGATGCCCATGTCTCGGTGAGGAAACTGTCCCGGCTACTGCCCCTTCGGCTACAGAAACTCCCAGTGATGAGAATTATACTTCAGTTTAGAGTTTCAGACAGCCAGGCTCCCGAGAAACGAATCAACACACATGTCGTTTGGGCTTGAATGACTTTGGCGGACGAAACGCTGCCACGGGATCGTCACAGTGAGCAGGGCAGGGCCTGGCAGGAGACGTCTGAACACCGAGCGTCCCCTCGATCACTCACTACCCGTGCCCCAGTGCGAGCCGGACGATGAACCGGCACACAGGCACGGCCGTGCCCAGTCGAATGGAAAGGATCACGCCATGGGCTTGCTCGTCTCCTGTTTAAAGATCTGCTCAGCGCTCCTACGATGCCCCTGCCCCCGCTGAAAGCCAGCCCATCGAATTTAACGGCCTTTTTAGCTCAGCAGATTCTGATGTGGAGAGGCGATTTGCATGGCTTTCTGCACAATCCCATTGACAGACGCACTGAAAGGAAGAAAGAGCCCCAGGGCTGAGTACATCGTGCAGCCCGGAGCTTGCCAGGGAAGGCAGCTGTGGCCGCTGACAGCCCGCGGCGCGTCCTCCCCTCCGCTCCGCCCTCGGCCCCGAGGCGGCCACGGCTCAGGACCCGGAGCCTCAGGTAGCCAGCCCCCTGCTACCAAGTTCAAGAAGACCTGTTCCAAGATGCGGAGGGACACAGCTGTGTGTCAGCTGGGACCACACCTGGGGAAAACCTCAGACGGACCAATGCGTTCTGAAATACGGCAGGGTTTTTGTTGTTTGCGTGTGCATGTGCGTGTGTGTGTTTGCACGCGCGCGTGTGTGCATGTGCACGCATGTGTGTATGTGTGTGTGCATGTGTGTGCGCCTGGCGTTGCTCAGTGCACGGCTCGGTGAGTGGCTCTGAAATTCCACAAGAACCGTTTCTCTCCTAAAAGCCCCAAGACAAGCACCTCTGTCTTGGTGTCTGCGACGCAGTGGATAACGCCACCCCCACATGAAGAGCGGAGCCCAGGGGACGGGGCTGCGGGTGAGGGAGTGAGGCCTCGCCCGCCCCCCATGAAAGGGAGAGGCGCCAAGGCCAGGGACCCAGCCTGGCAGAGAGGCGGCCGCGGCCCGAGAAACTGCTCAATGCCCTGTTTCTCTGTGCTCCATCGCTACCGCACCAGCCTGCCCTCCCTCAGAAGAAAGAAGACTCGACCCTCGCGACCTGCCCTGACCCAGATGATGGTCCCAGCTCCCCCCCTGCCCCACCTCCTCTGTACTCACACAGGCTCTTTAAAAGCTTTGAGAAAGTGACACCTTTCCACATCTGAGGGCACGACCCTCCCACCGTGCGGGCACTGCCACCTGGAGTCCGAGCTCCAGCACGATGAGAAATACAGTTTTGTTTATAAGCTAAAACACAGGCTTTAAGAAGGTGGATAAGTGATTTTATGACATTGTGAGATGTTTTCTTATTAAAAAAAATTTTAAATTGATTTTGAGAGAGAGAGAGGAAGGGATAGAGAGAGAGAAAAGCTGCTCCCTGCTTGCCCCGCATTGGGGATCAAGCCTGCAGCCCAGGCATGTGCCCTGACCGGGAATCAAACCGTGACCTCCCGGTGCCCAACCAGCGGGATCGCACGGTGAGGGCGAGATGCTGTCTTTACGTTGTTCTATTGATTTCCCATTCAGGGGCTCTCCGGGCCAGAACCTTCACCAAAGATGCCGAAAATAGGTTTCGAAAAACACTTCACAGTCTCAAGGTTCAAACTCCGATGAAAACGTTTTGCTGAAACGCCCTTCTAAAGAAAGCTCTTCACTCTGTCATCAGAAGGCGATGAGCCATCGCTCCTCAGCTACCGTAAAACCACAGTCGTGACTGCCACCTTGTCAGCTTACAGATCGCGGTTACCATGTCTCTGCCTTCGGGGAACAGGTCAGCTGGGAGCAGCGGTTCACAGCAGGAAAGCATGCGTTCCCGAACGCCAGATGTTCTATAGTAACAAAGTCGTCCTCGGGAATATAATTCCTGCCGCGGGGACAGGCAAGAAAAGGTTTAAAACAATTAGGTGGACAAAGCAGACAGAAGTGCTCCTCACAGCAGCTCAGAGACGATGCCATGATGCAAATTCAAAACTGAGCTCAGCCCGGCCCGTGGCTCAGTGGCTGAGCATTGACCCAGGAACCAGGCGGTCCCGGCTCGATTCCTGCTCAGGGCACAGGCCCGGGTTGCAGGCTCCATCCCCAGTGTGGGGCGTGCAGGGGGCAGCCGATCCATGGTTCTCTCTCACCATGGATGTTTCTCTCTCTCTCTCCCCCTTCCCCTTTGAAATCAATAAACATATCTTTAAAAACTAAATAAAAGCATCTGTCAGTGTTTCTCCAAACAGGACTGAGCGATCGATGGATGGGGGTGCGGCGGGCACTGGGGAGGCGCCTGGAGAACCGCTCCTGAAATGGATACGTGAGCTGATGCGAACCGGTCCCCAGGCAGCAGGGCCTTCGCAGGGAAGAGTCCTCCCTGAAACGGGAAACAGCGCCCGATCCCCCGCGGCAGCAGCCCAAGGCTCCGTGCCGCCTACGGCTCCACTCCCCACCCGGCCCTGGGCAGGGAGGCTGCCACCAGCTCCGTGGTCCCCACAGGAAAGCGCGGGCACAGACGGCCCAGGAACCTACCACCCCCCTGGGCTGGCAGCGGGAGAGCTGGGATTTGCACCTCGCTCGCCCGACTCGGACCGACGTGCCTTTCCCACGGGGACCTCGCTCACCCGACTCGGACCGACGTGCCTTTCCCACGGGGACACACGCCACGGATGAAGCTGTAAAGCCCACCAGACTCAGTCTCCCGGGCCCAGGCCGGCGATGCTCCTCGAGGAGGAAGTCGGTCCCCGGCTGCTGTGCTAAGAGCAGCTCTGACACGTGCAGGGATGGCTGTCAACAGCTCAGGACAGCGGTGAGCGGACGTGACGTCAGCACGGGGACTTTCTGATCAACTACACGCTCCAGCCTCCCGCAGGCCACCTGCAGAACGCGAGCTGCCTGCGCCGTCCAGGCGGGGTTGGTAACGCGTGTGCCTTTGGGGGTGACCCCGCTGGGAACCCCACAGGCCGGGCCGATGGCACGAGTCTGTGGGGTGGGCCTCCGCCGTCTTCTCCGGACCCTCCAATCCCCCGCGAGACAGGAATGTGCTGAGAGCTGCCCTGCCCTGTGGATGCTGCTAAGTGACTGCATTTCCCGGCCGGCCCAGAGCCGTGTCCATCGGCTTTAAAGAGACACACCCCACCCCGCAGCGTCTTCGTAGACGAGACCTAAATGGACAGTGCATATTTCTGTCGTAAACGTTGTGGGTGCTTTTCTCTCCTTCACATATAATTGGGAGAGAGAGTCGTGTGGTTCTGCACTGATTTGAAAGGAAGATTCCAAACTTGTTAGCATTTTAGCGGAACTATAGCTACACAGAGTCCTTGTGGATATGCATATGTGCACATGCACACACACGCGCATGTTGGTAAACATGCTTAGAAAGAATGTTCTCTCTCTATAGCAGCGGTTCTCAACCTGTGGGTCGCGGCCCTTTTGGCGGTCGAACGACCCTTTCACAGGGGTCGCCTAAGACCATCCTGCATATCAGATATTTACATGACGATTCATAACAGTAGCAACATTACAGTTATGAAGTAGCAACGAAAATAATTGTATGGTTGGGTCACAACATGAGGAACTGTATTTGAAGGGCCAGAAGGTTGAGAACCACTGCTCTAAAGAGCCGATGAGATGGAACAAAGCCTGCGAATTCCCATGACTCCGCCAGTGCACACAGGACGGCTGAGAGCCAACAGCCTGGCCCTAGTTTACTGTATTTTTTGTATTTATTTACTTATTTTCCATCATCATCTATCCCTCGATGGCCTCTCTCGACCCTGTGTCTTAAAAGACTCAGGCTATCTGTTGTCAACTCTTTTAAAAAAAATCTGAGAAAACTTTTCATTTATTTTTTAATGATTCTGATTTTTTTTTTTTAAAAAAAAGGTGAAACACGATGATGCGTAAGGGAAGGCCCGTGGAAGCCCAGACTCCGAGCGGCTGCTGCTTCCTCCCGGCCCGGGAGCCTTCGCACAAGAACAAACGAGGCCCGTTCCGGAAATAGGCCTGTGACTGTATCTGAGTTCTCCATCATCGCGTGAATTTATGGAATTCTTCCTGCTTTTGAGCATAACACAGATGCTCCGAATTCCTTCCTGCTTCCTTCCTAGCAGTGCGGGGGTGGGGGTGGGGGCGGCCTGCAGTGTCAGCCGGCCGCAGGGCTGAGGGGCAGGGAGCTCCTCTCGTCCCGAAGCCCCCAAAGCCGAGGCCCAGACCCCCCGAAGGACGGGAGGCGGCCCTGGGCTCGGGGCCGGGCCCCACACTGCCTCCTGCTGGGGGGCTCCGGCGGCCCTCGCCTGCCCCCAGCGATGGAAGGCGCGGCATGGGCACGGCCAGGCTGTTGTGGCACAAAGCGCGACTATAACGCTGGGGTTCAGGAAGACTCTTCGTTCGTGTCTTTTCCTTTCTTCCTGTGAACGGGCGAGGGGCACTGAGAGACCTGGACCAGCCCATCACGAGGCCTATCCAGGGACTGGACAGCGGGAGGAGACACATGGTGGTGTGTGCTTCCCTCCTGCACACGCGTGTGCGCGCTCCTGGACCCGGCGCCAGCTGGGAATCAGGACACGGCTGGGTGTAACTGGGTCATCTGCCGCCACCGTCTGCATGGCCGCCGTCCTCTCGTCCGCCACGGGGACCACTGGGCTGGCGACGGCAGGTCCCGTGCCAACACAGCCCCGCAGCGGGTTTTCTGTCCGTGTATTTCTGCGTGTGTGTGCGTATGTGTGTGCGCGCGCGTGCATTTAAATCCCAGAACTCCACACGGAAATTTGATAAAAAGTCGGACACTTTGGTCCTTTTCCTGCTCTGGCTATGGCGGTTACTCAGGAAAGGGTCCCCCTGCTCATGAAGCCGGCGAGCTGGTGATTCTTATGAACGCCCAGCGGTAGGAGAGCAGGTCGATGGTATCGGGGGACTCGGAAGAGAACATGTCAGTTGTCAGAAGCTGCGCTGTCTCCCGGAAATAAGGAAGGTGGGTGCACCGGGAGGCAGGGAAACCGGAGCCTGAACAGACTTCCCCACAGAGGACACGCAGGAGCCGACAGACTAGTCATCAGAGAGACGCACGTTAAAACCACAGCGCGGTACCAGAGAGACGCACGTTAAAACCACAGCGCGGTACCACCTCACACCCGTCAGAACGCTGCCATCAACACGTCACCAAACTGCTGGTGGGAACGCAGCTGGGGCAGCCGCTGCGGAGAACAGTGTGAAGTTTCCTCAAAAAAACGAAAAATGGAACTGCCATCTGAAGTTTCCTCAAAAAAACGGAAAATGGAACTGCCATCTGACCCAGTGACCTCACTTCTGGGAATACATCCAATGAAACCTGAAACGCTGATTGGAAAGAATGGATGCACCCTGTGTCCACCGCAGCGTTATGTACAATAGCCGAGGTCTGGAAGCTGCCCAAGTGCCCATCGGCAGACGAGTGGACAAAAAGCTGCGGGACATTTACACCAGGGAACGCTACTCAGGAGGAGAGAGGAAGGAAGTCTAACCCTTCGCGACAGCACGGAGGGGCCTGGACAGCATTACGCTCAGTGCAGTAAGCCACTCAGAGAAAGACAAGTCCCCCGTGATCTCACTCACAGGTGGAATCTAATGAACAAGATAAACTAACAGAATAGAAACAGACTCACAGACACAGTGAACAGACTGACAGCTGTCAGAGGGGAGGGGGTTGGGAGCTGGTTGAAGAAAGTGAAAGGACTGAGCAAAACAATAACCAAAAACTCATGGGCGCAGACAGCAACAGGGTGGTTACCAGAGGGGGGGGGGTGGGGCAGGTACAGGGGGATGAATGGTGAGGGGAGGAGACTTGGTGTGGGTGGTGGACACACGGTTGGGAGGACGGGAAGAGAGAAACCACAGAAGGTATACACTTCCAGGCACAGCCACGGCCACGGGCGACAGGGTGGGGGCTGGGAGGAGGGGGAAAGAGGGGAAATAGGAGATATCTGTAAAAAAAAAAAAATCGATGTTTTATTCCTCCTTTTTCCTCCCCCACACCTGGGCTTCTCATCTTAGACACACACACTCAGCCCCTCCGCAATCCCCCCGCCGCCCTGAGGATTCTGGAATGTTCCGGCGGCCTCGGCGCATAGGGTTCTGGCTAAGTGGAGGACCAGAGTGAAATAAAAGCCGGGGCCTTGATGACTTCGCCAGGGAAGAAGAGGTTCAGCAAGACCGAGGAGGAAATGAGGGGGAGAGGCACGCGGCCAGAAGGCAGAGAAGGATGGAGGTGCGGGAGGTGGGAGGCCGATTTCCGGGCAACGAGTCCTTCATTCATCTCATTGTTGGAAACTGGACCCCCTTCTGCTCTTCCCATCAGATCGGACTGAGGAGGGTGGGGAGGCGGTGGGGGCTGTGGAGCAGATGGCGCGGGCAGCACACGGCGCGGGCAGAACACGGCGCGGGCAGCACAGGCACGGGCTGGGCCCGGGGAGTTTGGACACATCGCGGAGCCTCTCTGGCCTCCGTCTCCCCACAGTGAGGAGGACGCGGGGTGTCGCTCTCCCAGGCTCATGTGAGCACTGGAAGGAGGGGACGGGGAGGAGCACGGGGCTGGCACGGAGCAAGCACCCAAGATGGGGAGAGTCCTCTCGTCTGAGCAGCGCGGGCTCCGCACACGTTGGGTGGAAAGCGGTTTCGAGTCCAGAGCAGAGCTCCCCGTTTTAAGTAGTTTTTCCAAGATGCGGCCAGTCAGGTTTGCCCAGGTGGTCGGATATTGGCAAGGAAAGAAGGCCCTGGGATGCAGAACAACCCCCCCCACCCCCAGCCCCTCCGTGGTGAGACAGGATGTGAGCCACAGGGGCACGGGCCGCTGGCCTGCCCATCAGACACCTCCAAGCGGCACAGGCATCATGGGAAGAACAGCACCAGCTTCCACTTGGAAACCACGGCCACGTTTCCACGCACATGAGCAGCGACGATGGAGAAAACACACGTCCATACAAGCAGGAGGGACCCAGCCAAACAGCCACAGCTATTTGTAAATCACACCCAGGGCTGTGAGGGCTCTGATCTGAGCTCCAGGGTTAAGAGGAGGGTCCTGGGGGTGTGGGGCCTCCACGTTTCTGTCTCCCTCTCCTCTCCTCACCTCACTCCAGCTCTTACTCCTACGCCTCTCACGCAGGGATCACACGCAGGAGACCATGTGGCCAAATACCCTGCCGTGTCTGTGCAGACTAATCTCAATTCAGAAACGGGTTTCCTTCTCCGCCGCGTCCAGGGAGCGGCCGATGCTGGGCCCAGGCCTGGCTCTGGAGCGGCCCTCCCTCCCTTCCCCAGCACGGCTCCCCTCGCTTCTAGCCTCCGGGGTCCCTTGCTCTGAAGTCTGGATTTTTGACTTTCCATGGATCCCCCAGTGTGTCTCCTCTCCTGGTTAATGGGGTCACTCAGTTCCCCCTCCAGGTCCCTAAATTCCCCCGGAGCCGAGATGAGTGTGGATAACGCTGGCCAGTCAGACCCTGCCCCCCCCCATGGCAGCCAGAGGGCCCAGGATCCTCTGAGGACCAGTCGTCGGGCCATTCATCTCCAACAACCGGACCCACCGAGTGACTTGGGTGTTTGCGACGCTTCATTCTTTGGGGGCCGCAGAAAACATGTCAATCAAGTGATGAACCGCCTGGTGGGCCGAGGAGATGAGCTCATAGCTGGTCTACCTCTTTCAGCCTCTTGGCGAAGTGCCATTTGTCTCGCGTCCAAAAATCCACATATGGAGAACGAGTTTCACACGGAGATGCCGAGACTCACGCAGTGATTTATGTGTGACAGACATCCTTCCAGACCATCGACCGCGGGCGGGCAGGGCTTGTCTCGCAGTCCCTCTGGCCCAGGAAGCTCGCCTTCGACCCGAGCCACACGGGGAGAGCTGTGCTGTGACAATACGGCCAGCGGGCCTGCCCCTGTGGCTGACGCTCGCACGGACATGGGAGAATGATCCTGATCAAGACACAGCCGGGCCGTGGACGCTGGTCTAATTGGAAGCAGCTGAGGACGGTGGGAAGCAGCGCTCTCGCCCCTGGGACGGCTCTCCTTCCTGGGGCGGCCAGTGGGCAGGCCTGCAGCCTCCTGGGCCTGGACTGAGGGCCACACCCCCACCCCCAGAAAAGACAGCACCCCACCCGCACGGAGACCGTTGCACCCCCTCGAGTGGCCTGTGCAAGACCACGAACAAGATCCACTGGATTCACTTCACACGACTCACAGAGGGACGGGGCATGTTGTTTTCCACTCGAACATTGCTGGTGGAAACGCCAATCCAGAGCACCCGCAGGGGCACCTGGGCTGGGGACGGCACCCCGATTAACAGCACAGGGAGCGCCTCCCAACCCAAAGTGCACCTTCTGGAGGGTCGCTCTGAAAGACAGGTACAGGCAGAGGACAGGTGTGAGGTAGGGGACAGGTGTGAGGTAGGGGACAGGTGTGAGGCAGGGGACAGGTGTGAGGCAGGGGACGGTGTGAGGCAGGGGAGAGGTGTGAGGCAGGGGACAGGTGTGAGTCAGGGGACGG